AGGGCTCAGTGTCTGTCCTGTTCCTCCTGTCACCCTCTCAGCCCTCCTCACTGCCTTCCTCCCTTTGCCCCTCAGGGCTCTCAAAGACTTCAGACCAGGCCTACATTGAGTTTGAGAGCATTGAGGCCATCGTGAAGACAGCCAGCCGCACCAAGTTCTTCATTGAGTTCTACTCCACCTGCCTGGAGGGTCAGAGGCAGGACCAGGGCTGAGTGTGGGCCAAGAGGGATGGGGAGGCCCCAGGGGCCCAGAGCGGTCAGCCCCCTAGATGGCTGAAGGGAATCCAGGAGGTGGCACTCAGTTGGGTATCCCCCACCCTCACCCCAGAGTACAAGAAGAGCTTCGAGAATGATGCTCAGAGCAGTGACAACATCAACTTCCTCAAGGTGCAGTGGTCTTCACGCCAGCTGCCCACGGTGAGGCTTTTGGCAGGGTCTGAGCTTGTAGGTGAGGGCACAGGGAGAGGTGTGAAAGAGCACATATGGTGCATGTGTGTGTGTGTGTGTGTGTGTGTGTTGTGTGGTGGGGCTGGGCATGAGTAAGGGTGAGGGCATTTGCTTTATTTGGGAGGTGTGGGACCAAGTTACAGATTCATTCATTCATTCATAAACACTTTTCGAGCCTTTGCTCAATATCAGGTCCTGTGTTGGCCATTGAGGATGTAGAAAATTAACTACATAAATGTTAGGAAAGGTCCATGCAGGGCCATGTCTTCTACATTAAGGATTTGGGATCTTTCCTTAATAGTTGAGTGGGAGTGAGCTTGGACGAGTCTGAGGGTTGGGGTGAGCAGTGTCATGGGCAGGAGGGGCTCGTTGGGGCTTTGTCCTTCACTAGGCCTCTCTGCTCCCCAGCTCAAGCCAATTCTGGCTGATATTGAGTACCTGCAGGACCAGCACCTCCTGCTCACGGTCAAGTCCATGGATGGCTACGAATCCTATGGTGAGGGGGGGGGAAGTGGAGGGGGAGCAGGGAGGGGTCCCAAGAGGCACAGAAAGCCAAGCAGAGCTCTAGAAAGGTTCGACAGTCTGCCCGTCTGCCCCGTCTGCCCCATCTGCCCTTCAGGGGAGTGCGTGGTGGCGCTCAAGTCCATGATTGGCAGCACAGCCCAGCAGTTCCTGACCTTCCTGTCCCACCGCGGCGAGGAGACAGGCAACATCCGTGGCTCCATGAAGGTGCGGGTGCCCACAGAGCGCCTGGGCACCCGTGAGCGACTCTACGGTGGGGGCTCCATTGGGAGGGATATGGGGCATGAGATGGGGTGGTGTGGGCAGGTCTAGGAGGGGGGACTGCGGGTAGGGGGAGGGCACGTTAGAATCCCTGGAATCTTTGGAAGTTCTGTAGCAATGCCTGAAAGTGGGCCTGCCTTCAGGAGTAGCTGGAAAGGGGCTGCTGGTAGGCCCAGGGGGTGTCTAGGGTCCAGGATCCCAGGTCCCCTCTGAGTCTTCTTTCTCTTCCTCCCCCAGAGTGGATCAGCATTGATAAGGATGAGGCAGGAGCAAAGAGCAAAGCCCCCTCTGTGTCTCGAGGCAGCCAGGATCCCAGGTGAACTGGGACTGTGCTGGGTGTCCCATGAAGGGGTGCCTGGGGGCTTTGGGTCAGTCTCTACCTCATCTCACCCCTATACACCCCTGGCAGGTCAGGGAACCGCAAGCCAGCCCCTGCAGAGGCCTCCTGCCCACTGTCTAAGTTATTCGAAGAACCAGAGAAACCACCACCCACTGGGAGGCCCCCAGCCCCACCTCGAGCTGCTTCCCGGGAGGAGCCCTTGACGCCCAGGTGAGAGAAGGAACCTGTTATCCCCCCCACCCCCCACTTCATCTACTGCTATGCTTGGCTCTCAGGGCCAGCCCGGGGACCATTCGCTGCCTGAGTGAGATGATGCCCCATGGCTGGGGGTGCTGGGGCTCTGCTCCTATGGCCACTCTGGCCATCCAGGCCTCCCCGAGGCGTGGCTCTCTGAGTCCAAGGAAGCAGTCAGCCTTTCTTCCCGGCTCTGCCTTAAAAAAATAGAACTAGAAGTTGTTTCTGCAACAGTTCCTTCCAAATTTAGCTTGGGTTTTCTGTTTGGTCTCAGCATGGCATTTCCTTCGGTGCATACTTTGGAACACTGTCCTACAAGATGCCCCATCGGAAATGGGTTGGTGGTCAAATGAGTTTGGGGAATGGTTCTGACTAGATTCTTTCCTTAGGTAGTCCCAGTGCACATTAGTTTTGCAGAAGCTCTGAGCATGTGGACAGGAAGGAAACCCCCTTTTCAACGCTGTTGAGTATAGTTTCCCAAACTTAACCGGCCAGGAAACTTCTTTTCCACACAGTGACTATTAATACCCTGGGGAACTAGTGTTCTGTGGATCATACTCGAGGAAAGTGAGGCTTCCTAATTATATCCGATTGTTGCTTGAACTTAAATAAAAGTTCCTAGCCACGGTTTGGTGCTTTTTCACTCACCTTCACCTGTTATCGGTCACCTTGGTTTTATCCTCAGGCTTGAGTAAAACTAACCTGAATCCCTGGGTAAAATTCCTCAGTAGATTGGCCTCAGGCGCCTTCACAGGATTTCCAGCCCTAGCCGGCCATTCCAACCAAAGGCCTTTGTTGCCCTGCCTTCTGGCACCTGTTTTCACTGATGTAAGCTCAGGACTTTCACAAAGTCATGAAAGAAGGATCTGAGAATCTTAGCAAGGAAGGCAAGAAAGTTCAAGGATTATCTATTCAACCACTGAGTCTCCTGCATCTTAGAGGTGAAGACACCAAGGGCCAGAGAGAGAAAGTGATGTGTTCAAGGTCACGTGCAATCCTAGGACCAGGGGCCCACAGTCCTGACCCCCAGTCCAGTTCTCCTTCCACTGTATCCATTGCCTTCCTGACTTGATTATCCTGCTCCCAAACCCAGGTTGAAGGCAGAGGGGGCTCCAGAGCCGGAAGGGGTGGCAGCCCCCCCACCCAAGAACAGCTTCAATAACCCTGCCTACTACGTCCTTGAAGGGGTCCCCCACCAACTGCTGCCCCCGGAGCCACCCTCGCCTGCCAGGGCCCCTGTCCCACCGGCCACCAAGAACAAAGTGGCCATCACAGTGCCTGCTCCACAGCTCGGGCGCCACCGGCCCCCCCGTGTGGGAGAGGGGAGCTCATCAGATGAGGAGTCTGGGGGCACACTGCCCCCTCCAGACTTTCCACCCCCACCCCTGCCAGACTCGGCCATCTTCCTGCCCCCCAGCCTGGATCCTTTGCCAGGGCCGGTGGTCCGGGGCCGCAGTGGGGGTGAGGCCCGTGGCCCACCACCTCCCAAGGCCCATCCAAGACCCCCACTGCCCCCAGGCCCCTCACCTACCAGCACTTTCCTGGGGGAGGTAGCTAGTGGGGACGATCGCTCCTGCTCCGTGCTGCAGATGGCCAAGACTCTGAGTGAGGTGGACTATGCTCCAGCTGGGCCTGGCCGCTCAGTGCTTCTGCCAGGCCCCCTGGAGCTGCAGCCGCCCCGGGGACTGCCCTCGGACTATGGCCGGCCTCTCAGCTTCCCTCCACCTCGAATCCGAGAGAGCATCCAGGAGGACCTGGCAGAGGAGGTGTGTGGACCAGGGGTGTGTGCTTGCCCATGGACAGTGGTATCCCTTTATGGCACCATTTCGACACTCAACGGGGTCCCTTCTGCCCTGAGCTGGGTACTGGGGAGTTGGGAGGTGGGGGACGGGGAACATGAATCAGCCCGTTTTTGCCTCTTCCCCTAGAGCCTGTAGTAGAATGTGGCTGCAGGGGCTTCTTCTCTGGGTGGGTGCTCTCGGTGCTCCCCCTGACGTGCGCTATTCCCTCAGGCTCCGTGCCCGCAGGGCGGGCGGGCCGGCGGGCTGGGCGAGGCAGGCATGGGCGCCTGGCTGCGGGCCATCGGTTTGGAGCGCTATGAGGAGGGCCTGGTGCACAATGGCTGGGACGACCTGGAGTTTCTCAGGTGGGGGCGGGGCTGGAAGCGGATGGGGTGGGGCTGGCCCCGGGGCGGAGCTACGGGCCCTCTAGACCACTTCGCCCACCTCCCAGCCTCTCTTACCCCTACAGCGACATCACGGAGGAGGACCTGGAGGAGGCTGGGGTGCAGGACCCGGCTCACAAGCGCCTCCTTTTGGACACCCTGCAGCTCAGCAAGTGATAGCGGTGGCGCTGCGAAGCTGCGGACTCGGCACCCCTGCTCCCACCCTCCAACTAAGGCCCAGCCATAGCCCCAAAGTTGAAAAGCTGTGAGGGGTGGGGCAGTACCTCTCCGCCTATTTATTGGGGATCTGCGTTCCCCACTGCCCAATCGTTTGGAATGCCCTAATTAGGACATCCTGCCTCTCCCCCGCCCCAGGGTTCCGGAGGTCAATTGCCGAGATTACCGAGGACTTTGGTAATTCTGGTGCTGACCTCCCTTTCTGAATCCCTACTCCCAGCCTCAGGGGTGCCCGTAGGGTCCACTTGGGTACGTCTGGGCCCCCACTTTCACCGCTGTTTCTGCTGCCCTCCACCTGGCCTGAACCACGGCGGGGGGGGGGGGAGCTGAGCTAGGACCCTTTCCAACCCCCATTCTGGGGGTGTCCGTCCGGAAATGAAGGAATAGCCCAAGGACCGGGCTGGGGTTTATTTAAGCTTTTCTGCGTGGGTTTAGGGAGGGCGGGCACTTTAATATTATCGGGGCTGGTTAGGGTGGGGAGAAGGATCTGGGCCATAAAGTGGTAGTTTGCTTAGTTCTCACTGTCTCCCTGTCTATACCACCCCGGGCTGCGGATTTGTGGCAGCAGTGGGTTCCTTGCTGGTTGCAAGCGGGGACGGGCTCTTGCAGGCAGCTTATCCCCCATCCTGGGTACTCAGAAGGGTTGCCAGCGTTACGTCTTCAATAAATTAAGTTTTATTTGGATTGAGCAAAACTCACCTCAATAAATTACAAGTTTTTCAAAGGAAAAGAACGACAACAACCAAAAACAAAAAATTCAGGAAAGAGGAAACCCCTCTGTCCCGATGTCCTGGCAGCCAGCCCCTCTTCTCTGAACAGGCCTAACCTCTGCGCCAGACCGGCTGGAAACGGGAGGGGATAAATTGGCAGTGAGACCCTTTCGGGCGTCTTATTATCCCAACGGTGACCAGTGCGGGTGGACTGGAGGGCTGGGGCAGCGGGCTGGTCGCTAGGGTGAAGAGTGAGCCAGCCAGCTGCAGAGCCAGGGGAGGGAGCCGGGCTGCTGCTCTGCTTGAGGACCCTCAAGTTCCAGCGGGGTTATTTGATCCCGGTTTCAAAAGAAAGCCAAGCTGGGAGGGGGGGCTCCCCGGTGAAAGTACCCCATTCTGCTGGGGGCGGTAGGTGAGGACGAGAGGCCCTGACTCGGTCTCCGGTCTCCGAAGCTGGGGAGGGCACACTTAGGAGTGGGACACGGTAGGGGGTGGGGCAGGTGGGCACTTCCAGGCGGGCGCCCGGATGGGGCGGGACCCTGTCAGGTCCTGAGGGGCAGGGGCATCTCTGGGGGGCAGGCCCGGCACCTCCAGAGTCCGGCGGCTAGAAGAGATTGGTCTTCAGGGCCGGGCCAGGCTTCCGGTGGAAGGAGGACAGAACCCCGGAGAAGGGCCCGGGCCCGGGTTCCGCCGGCTGCCAGGCCTTCAGCAGCTCCGCCGCGCCCGCGCCCGGCCCGCCGCCCCCGCCGCCCGCCACGCCCGCCCACAGCGGGCCCTTGAGCGGCTGGGACCCGGGGCCAGGGCCGGGCCCGGAGCCCAGGGCGGCAGGCAGCGGGCTGGGGCTCAGACGCGGGCTGGCCAGGCCGGGGGCGGGCGGCGGGGGCAGCGACGCGGTGCTGTCGGGCGTGGGGCTGCACGTGGACTCCTTGGAGTCGTCGTCCTCGGACGAGCAGCGCGCCTCGCCCTTTTTGGCGCCCGCCGCGCCCGCCGCACCCTTGGCGCTGGCCGCACGCTCCTGTTTGCGGAACTTGGCCCGGCGGTTCTGGAACCAGACCTGCGGGCACAGGGGCCGGTCAGGCCGAGGCCGCGAGACGCGCGGGAGCCCTCGGTCTGGAAGGGGTCGGAGCGTGGGCCCCTCGGCCCTCCACTACCTGGCTCATGGCCCTCCTGGTCTCTCTGCTCGAGGCGTCTCCTCCATTTGCCCCTCCCTCCTGGTCTTCCCCTGGGGGATCTGATCACCAGCCACCCGGCAGGCTCCAGTGTTCCAGGTCTCCTGGAGGGGACTCCGCCTTCCCCCCTCATCACCCAAAGCCCTGCCCCCAATTCCTTCCTACCAGAAGCTCCAGGGATTTCCACCTGGAGTGTCCCACGGGGGTGGAGAAGGGGTCGGGTACTAGGGGAAACCTTTTGTCCAGGGTCTCCAGTAAGGGCGGACCAGCTGGACATCTCCACTTGGATTTGTAAGATAGACAACAGAGTCCACCTGGGCGGACCCTCCTCGGCCCTGCGCCTGCCCAGAGCCCTGGGTTTCCAGGCTCAGAGATCTCACAGCTGCAGAGCTGGGGAGGAGACATGGAGGCACTCACTGGCTTTCTGGGATTCGCCTGCCTTGGCACTGAGGCCACCCAGGGCTCCCACTCTACCCACTTGGGAAGCTTCCAGGCTTCCCAAGCATCCTTCTACATGCCTGGCCATACTAAGGGAACAGAGGGGAAATCCTGGGGGCTGAAGAGCTCAGTTCTCCAGAGGGCCTCAGGTCTGCCAAGTCTTGGCCCGCTGTCTCCTCCCGCTGCCCATCCTCTCCTGCCCAACCACCCCTGGACTGTGCCCTGGCCCCTGGCTCCAGCTCTCCGCCTCCAAGCTGCCCCTGCCTGCCACCCGAGCGAGCCAGGGCCCTCTTTCCCGAGGCCCCCAGGTGTCGGGCACTAACCTCCCATCCCCCCCCCCCAACACGTACACTTCCGTACACATGCAAACACACACCTGCACGCGAGCCTCAGTCAGGTCGATCTTGAGCGCCAGCTCCTCGCGTGTGTAAATGTCAGGGTAGTGAGTCTCTGCGAAGACGCGCTCCAGCTCCTTGAGCTGTGCACTGGTGAACGTGGTACGGATGCGCCGCTGCTTCCGCTTCTCATGCAGGCCCGACGGCTCCGGGAAGAACTTGTAGGGCACTAGGGGTGTGTGCAGGAGGGGGGAGCAACGAGGGTGGGGGTATGAGGGGCCGAGCTCAGCCCGCTGTGTCCTGCCCTGCGATTGCTCGCCGTTCCCCGCGCCTGACTCAGCCCCTCGGCTTCCTCCCCTCGGTCTCGAACGGAGCGTCTGCCGGCAGGAGTGAAGGCGGACAGGGCGCAGGCGGACCTGGAGCCCCAGAGCCGCAGCGAGGCAATCAAGATCTGATCCTTAGGTCAGGACGGCTGACCTGTCCTTGGTACTCTGCTGTGTTCCCTCCCCTCTCTCCAGCCCACCTGCTCCTCCGACCTCCCCTATGGTGTGCTTCCGCCTTGGTCAGTCTGCCCTGCTTGGTTTCATGTCCTGCTCTGTCCACCTTAGCCTTGATTGCCAGGTCTCATCAGCATCGTGGGCCTTCCCAGTAGCCAGTTCTGGAGCTGGGTGACTGAGACTCCCTGGCCTAGCTAGGTCTACTTTGAGCCCTGGCACATACTTTCTGCCATGTAGGGAATTGGCTCCCTCTCCCCTGTCATCTCTCTCCCTCCCATGCCTCATTTCTTCAGCCCCATCTCACATCCCATTCTCCTCCAGTGTCCTCTTCCTCATCTTTCTCCATCCACATCTCTCTTCAGCTTTCCCCTTTGGGACCATTCTTTTCTTTGTGCCCACTGAAAAGGGTCCTTATTTTTCCCCATCCAGACCCAGGTTCCTTCACCTTCTCATTGCCCTTCTTCCTCCCAGGCACCTCTGTGTCTCAACTGCCCCACAGCCAGCCGCACCCCTCTCCCTCACTCTTCCCATCCTTGTTTCCCTTTTACCCCATGCCAGGCCACACTGCCCCCACAGACAGTGTTTCTGACAGTATCTCCTCATCCTTGTCTCCAACCCCGCTTAGGTCTCCATATTCTTCAGGAGTCCCCAGTATCTTACATCTTTGTCCTATATCCCTAGTTCTCGATCTCCCCCTGATCCTTGTCTCCAACACCCCATTCCTAGTCCCATCTTCCTCATCTCTGTTGCCAGTCTTCCTTGGTCCCCATCTCCCACAATTCCTGTCCCCATCACCTCTAGTTCTTATCTCCATCTCCCCAACCCTGGGTCCCCATTTCTCCCAGCGTCCCCAGTCTTCCCACTTTTGCTCATACCTCTCTACACCTGTTCTCCTCTCCCCATCTCAGAACTCCATCTCAGTGGGGCCCATAACCCCATTTCCTGACCCTATACCCCCAATCCCCATCCTCATCTGGCCCAGAGTACCAATCTCCCCATCCCTGTTCCAGTTTTTGGATCCATCTTGCTGGTTCTCATTTCTCCAAATCCGGATCCCTATCTAACCATCCCTTCCCACCCCTCAGGCTCCAGTCTTCTACTTGGGTCCCAGTGGTCTTCCCCGGAAGGAAGGAGATAAGGAGATTGGGTGGGGCAGCCTGGACTCTAACCGGAGAGATCTGGATGGCTGCAAGGCTCTGTGAGGTTGAGGGTTCAGATGGGGACTTGGATCAAGAGGCTTGGAGGTAGTGGGGGCTACTTCTGGGTTCTGCAGGACTCTAGCTAGGAGAGTCTCCAGGGGGAAGGGGGGAATGAAAATGGCTTAATGACCTGGGCACGCTTTTCTTCCAGCAAGCGATGGTTGGGGTTTCAGTGGAGCAAGAGGGTCTAAACACAGGCGGGATGGGTTCAAAACCAGGCAGGAGGGGCTTGATGGTGCTGGGGCTCTAGGAAGGTTTCCATCTGGGCAGCTCAGCCGCTGCAGAAGCTCTTGCTGGGGGTCAGACATGAAGTGGGGTGGGGATAGGGATGGGGATCTGATTGGACTGAGCCGGGGGCATCTTCCAAGGATACGGGGATGGAGAGGTTTGGTGGTCAGACTTTGCAGGCGGGGAGGGGAGGATCCGGCGAGGGGCCCGGGGCTGGACCAGGGATCTATTTCCCTGACCTGAAGAGCACAGGACAGGGATCTGGCAGTGAGAAAGAGGAAGGGGATGAGAGGGTGGGGCTGAACTCTGCCGAGGGGAACCCCGTCTTACAGAGGGGCTGGGGATCCCGCGGGTGTTGGAGGGCAAGGATGGGGGCGGCTGTGGGGGACAGTCGCAATCACTTGCCAAATAGGGCAGGGGCTGGGGCTTCCGCAGGATTCGAAGGGAGGCTTGGGCCGGGGCTGGGCTCACCTGCCGAGTAAGGCGCAGGCTGGTGGTCGCGTAGAGCGCCGAGCGCGCAGTTAGAGGAGCCGAGCGCGGGGCAGGGCGGCCCAGCCGCGGGGAAGGCGGGTCGCAGGGGGCTGTATTGGAAGCCGCCGGGCTGGCTGCAGGCGCCGAAGTCGCCGTAGGCGGACGCCTCCATGGCCGCCACGCACGAGTCGTACGAATTGAGGTAGGAGTAGTCCATCGGCCCGGGGGTCGGGGGCGGGGGCCGGGCCGGGCCGGGTCAGGGTCGGGGTTCCCGGCCGGGTGGGGGTCGGGATGAGGGTTGGAGCGCCTGGCGCCGAGGACCCGAGGCCGACTCTGAGCGCCCGCGAGTCCGCCCGCCCCGTCGCGGCCGCCCTCCGCCCGGGTGCAATGCAAGTGCAGCCCGGCCGGGCCCGCGCGCCTTTTAACGCTCAGGACCCCGCGGAGGGGGCGGGGCGGGCGGGCTCCGCGGGGCGGGGCCTGGGCGGCTCAGGCCCCACCCCCGGCTACCCCAGACCCCCACTCCGAAGGGTCCCCGCCGCCCTCCCTGGGCTCCCGAGGCGCAGGGCGGGGCAGTGCGGGGCCCCATCCCTAGAGTCCCCATCGCGTCTCGATCCCGACCAGACAGACCTTCACTCTCTACCACGGTGCCGGGCTGGAGGGTCCCAACCCCTTTCCTCGGCCTCCCCACCTGCGGCCCCGCAGAAGGGGCGGGGTGAGACAGGCCTGGCGGCGCTCCTGTGAAGAAGTTAATTCAATTGTCTTGATAACCGAGTTATTCTGATCCAGCCCCTCGGCCCCGCCCCCAGCGAGGTCCCATCCCGGCGGGGACCACAGAGGCGGCCCAGGAGGGGGTTGGAGACACGGACGAGGAAGAGACGGAGCCTGGGATGGGGACGTGGATGAAGAGAGGAAGCAGGGAGAAAAAGGGACAGAAATAGTGCAGGAAAAAGGGACAAGAGAGATACAGGTACACAGATGGAGACAAGGATGAGACATGGAGGAGAGAGAGAGAGATTGGAGACAAGGGCAAGCGGGTCCCCACAGGGACAGAGATGGAGACAAAGCTGAAGCGCGTGCAAGAGAAAAGCAGGGATGGAGATGGGGACAAGGCAGAGACAGAGGAGACAGGATAAGAGAGAGACAGAGAGCGGATGGAGGAAGAGAGTGAGGCTGGCATGGAGACAGAGAAGGCCTGGGGTGAGACATGGATGGGAACAAGGATTGAGATGGAGATCAGGAGAGAGATGAGACAAGACAGGGCAGGGACAGGGAGACACACACGGAGGGGCGGTCTCAGAGAGACAGGGCCGGGGAGAGACAGAGGAGGAACAGAGCTGAGAGAAAGAGCATTCTGAGAGCTGAGACCCACAGCTGGAGTGCCTAGGGGCAGTAGGATGGTGGTGGTGGCCAGGCGAGGCTGCCCCAGGGGACAAGGGGACGGTCGCTGCTGCCCAGATTCCCCTAACCTGACCTGGCCACACACCCCTACTCTGTACCTTCGAGGCCTGGCCTGCCTCTCTCCTGCCCCAGTTCCCCAGCTCAGTACTCCTGCCCACCACCACCCAGTGTGATACTTTGGTCCCCAGCATCCTTGGCACAGAGTGTGTGTATGTGATGAATGTCAGGATCAAGAGTAATGGAGTGACCTCAGGACTCTCCCTCAGCCTCCCTCTGCATATTCTGCCTCTGGCTTTCACGCTGTGGGAAAACCAACACAAAATCCTTTCCAGAACGGAAGAGGGAAGCTTTTTCCCCCTGCAGTTCACCTGAGGTGGATTGGACAGCTTTCCTACCCAGCCCCCAGCATCCTCCACCCAAATCTTGGTAGGTCCTACAGATGGAAGAGAAGACCCAGAAGAAAGCCCGGGGAGGGTGACCCCTTATTACCAAAGCCCTTGCCTGCAAGAGAAGTTTCTTGGGAAGGTCTTTCCCCAATTTCCCACTATGGGGAACATGCCCACCATCAGGTCATCCACTTCAAGGGCCACCAGTTCTTTGCTTCACACAAGGACCACATCTCCCCATTTTCTGTAACTCCATGCCAGGGGGTTTCTTTGAATTGTTTTCTCTAATTACTTTTTGGGTATAGACTTCTAAAGCGACGGCAAAACTGCTTCACAAGTTCTCTCCACTGGTGTGTGAAGTGTACCTCTCACCTTTGACACCTCCTCTGCAGGGAGCCCAAGGGACCTCAGAATTGAGAAATCAGGGATCCCTGGGTGGCGCAGCGGTTTAGCGCCTGACTTTAGCCCAGGGCGCGATCCTGGAGACCCGGGATCGAGTCCCACGTCCGGCTCCCGGTGCATGGAGCCTGCTTCTCTGCCTCTCTCTCTCTCTCTCTCTCTCTGTGTGACTATCATAAATAAATAAAAATTTAAAAAAAAAAAAAAGAATTGAGAAATCAGAAGTGCTCTCCTTAGACCTAGTGTGGCTCTCCATCGTCCTTAGGATCAAATCCAAGCCCTCATTCTGGTCACAATGTCCCCTTGTGTCAGTGCTCCAGCCACCTCCCCCTCACCTTGGCTTTCTTTGAAGTCCTCACACGTTGATTGATTTTTTTAGTTTAGAGCTGTTCTTTCTGGCTGGAATGGTCATTCCACTCCCCAACCCACCCCACTGCTCCCCACCTCCCCCAAACTCCCAAACCTGGTTGACTCTTGTTTATCCATCTGGTCTCAATTTGGACATTATTGCTTCCTGGAAGCCTTCCCTGATGCCCCTAGACTATGTTGAGCGTCCCATAGTACCTCTCTCTCTTTTGGTTATTCATGTCACCAATATTCGCAATAAAGTGCAAGGTCTCAGGATAGAACGACTCTTCCCAGCCCTACCACAGTGTCTAGTACATCATTCTGTACATCACAGGTCTTCCCATATCTGCTTGTTGAGTTAATGAAAGGTGAGCTGAAATCTTTGTGTTGGGGAATCCCTGCCCTTGTTTCTGGGGAACAAATCCTCACACCCTGATTTCTGCTCCCCACTCTCTGGAAAGGGATCATCCTCCTTTCTTCATTCCCTCATTCCCCAGGGACAGAAAACTTCCTTCCTCTGAGCCAACCTTCTGCTTGGAAGAAAGTCCTCCCTCATCTGAGGAATTTGTAGGGGGCTTTATCTCTTCCCCAGTGACAAAACTGAAGCAAAGGAGCAACTGAAGCTTGTAGGCAGGGACAAGTAGAGATATGAGGGGAGGCAAAAAAGCCATGGTTCCAGTTGTCTCAGACCATGATCTATTCCTGTCATTTCTATGGTTTGGTCATTGAACCATTAGATTCCCCTCTCTGTCTAAACTTGGGCTTCTGACACTGGCAACCAAAATTTCTGACCAAGATAATTTGTGAATGCTTGACACCTTTACAGGTAATCAAATTATGGTAGTGGTGATTAGAAATTTTATTTTAACATGCATGTTACAGGGTTAGCAGGGCAGGAGCTGACCTTCCCATGCTTGGGGCTGTGGAGCTGGAGGTTCCTTTCTCTTCAGACAGCTATTTGCACCTGCTGATTGGCACAGAAGCAGACACAGCCCCCAAAGATGCTTTGAACCTTGTTCACTACTGGGCTCAGGTCTTCCAGATGGTGGAAGTGGGGGGACTTTGGAGGCTAGGCTGTATGGTGAGTATGAATGAGTGTGTGTGTGTCTCTGAGAGAGAGAGAGAGAGAGAGAGAGAGAGAGAGAGAGAGAAGAGGGTTCCCTGAACTCACCATAAAAGAAGAAGGAAAGAGGCAGAGTGGTCTTCTCCAAGGACCTCACACTCGAGAGGCCAGTGCTGAGATCTGTTGTGGGAAGCTCATCCTCTTCTCACCTGTAAACTGGTTTATTTTATGATTAGATGGGTTAAAATACATAAAGTGTTTGAATAGTACCTGGCACATAGTAAGTATTAATTAAGTGTTTTTTAAATATATCACTGCTGGGATGCCTGAGTGGCTCAGCGGTTAAGCATCTGCCTTCAGCTCAGGGCGTGATCCAGGATTGCTGGGATCCAGTCCCGCATCAGACTCCCTGCATGGAGCCTGCTTCTCCCTCTGCCTGTATCTCTGCCTCTCTCTCTCTCTCTGTGTCTCTTATGAATAAATAAAATCTTAAAAAAATAATATACCACTGCTGCCACCACCATCACCAACATCACACACACATACCCCCTTCTCCCTCTCACTAACTGACTGAACCCTATGTGACTCAGACCCAGACCACACTCTGTTCAAGCTTCTCTGATTTGTTATACCTGATACCTGGATATAGATTCTGGACATAAACTCCTATCTTCATCGGACTCCCTGCGTGGAGCCTGCTTCTCCTTTTGCCTGTGTCTCTGCCTCTCCCTCTCTCTGTGTTGCTCATGAATAAATAAATATATATGTTAAAAAAATTAATTAATAAAAAAAGGAAGATCCCTGGATGGCTCAACGGTTTAGTGCCTGTCTTTGGCCCGGGTGTGGTCCTGGAGTCCCAGGATCAAGTCCCACATCGGGCTTCCTGCATGGAGCCTGCTTCTCCCTCTACCTGTGTCTCTGCCTCTCCCTTTCTCTGTGTCTCTCATGAATAAATAAATGAAAATCTTTATAAATAAACAAATAAACAAACAAACAAATAAATTTATTTAAACTCCTATCTTTCCACCACAGCATCACTTTTGCCCTCAAGTTTTCAGAAGGTACCAGGGCCTAGCAGAATTACCCAGCCTGACCTCTTAGTTTTTGCAGATGAAGATGGTGAGGCCCAGGGAGTGGTCCTGTAGAGTCAAGCTAAAAACACTGGAAGTGTGTCACGGTGGGAGGACTCCCCTGACAGGGAGCAGCATGCAAAAAAGAACCCGGGGAGGGACTTTTTTCTTCTGCTCTGACACTAAATTACTCTGTGAGCCTAGGCAGTAGAAATCCCGTGAGAATGGGTGAGGAAGGACCCATGTTTTGGAGAACTTTTCCCGCCTGTGGTCACTTGGAGAATTTTAGCCTGGGAATTTCTAGGTACCACCACCTTATTCCCACTTCCATGAGTAGTCTCTGACCTTAGCCTCCTCTCAGAACTTCGAGCAAGGCTTGCCTAGATACAGAATGTGTCCGCCAAGATGATTTATTAAGCCAGTGCACTCCTGGTCAACACTTCTGTCCTATGGGGAAGAGCATGGAAGAGCAGCCGTTCCTCCCTACCATAGAAACTTATCTTCTCACTCTCTGAAGCAGTGTCCTCAGTGTCATCGTTGTCTAACCATGACT